CCACAGCTATGTTTTTTAATTTAATTTTTTCACTGTTTATTTTTGCTTTTCAAAGATTTAAAATAGCGTTTTTCTTCCTCTGGATATTTTTCAGAGTTAGGTTATTCTGCTTTTTAACAGTGAGTGGAATTACTCTTTAACTGATGTTATAGTGATTCACTTGACAATGGAATGTTTTGTGTGTGAAAGGAAAAGAATTGGGATTTGTAGTCAGTAAACAAAAGAAAAGCCCTTTAAAAAGTTTATTATAGGTGATGTCATTTCTTGAAATGGTGTCAATACATTCTTGATACTGATAATGTCTGATTATTTACTATTACTGGATGTGATGCAAAGCATTTTTAAAATTAAATCAGTGGTTGTTGCTGGATAATGTGCATTTGACCAAGTTTGTGTATTTTTAGTGTCTTATTATTTTAAGTACTATCAATACCATGATCTTAAAATTTGAAATGTTGAGGAATTAGTGTTAAGCTTTGTTTTTGTGGTAAATTGTATGCTCTGGAACATGTAAAAAGTCCAGCCCTGTTGTTTTCTTTTCCTGTTCTTTCTAAGAAAGGGAGTTTCGTGCTCCAACTTTGGCATCCCTAGAAAACTGCATGAAGCTTTCCCAGATGGCTGTTCAAGGACTTCAGCAGTTTAAGTCTCCCCTTCTGCAGCTCCCTCATATTGAAGAGGACAATCTTAGAAGGGTTTCTAACCATAAAAAGGTAATTCTTTGCTACTTTAAAGTCAATTTTTAGCAGTTTGTTGTATCATTTAAAGGGAGCATGAATAAAAAAAAGTTTTTCAGACATTTTTACTGTGATTTCTTAGATTTAGAATATTTAAACATTCTAAAATGGTCTCTCAAGTGGTTCTCACATTTTCTTGATTAGATAGCTATTTTATAACATTTTACTACTGTAAGTAAATTTACTATTTGGGGGGTTGGTGTGTTTTAGCAATTAACTTTTTGTTCCTGCTATGCATAGTGGCTCATGCCTGTTATCCTAGCACTTGGGGAGGTAAAGGTGGGAGGATCACTTGAGGCCAGTAGTTCAAGAAAAATTAGCTGGATGTGGTGGTGGGCTGGATGTGGTGGTGGGCACCTGTAGTTCTAGCTACCCATGAGGCGGGGAGGGGGGGGGGCTTGAGCCCCAGGAGTTTGAGCCTACAATGTGCTATGATCATACCACTGTACTCCAGCCTTGGTGACAGAATAAGGCCCTGCCTCTTAAAATAAATGAAGGAATGAATCAAGTATAAATTCAATGGATGCCTTCTAGTCATTTTATTCTTAGGTTAAAGTTTGGGCAGTTTATTGGTTGAGTATGAAAAGAAAATTAAGTATTCAAAAAATAAGTATATCAAATAAAAGCAATCCTTATTTTAAAAATATCAGTACTAAAGACATGACAGTGAATCTTAAGGTACAGAAGAAATAAGTATACATGGAAAACTTTAGGAAATAAAAGAAACTGAACGAAAATCTAGTTCTGGTAGGAGATTTTAGGTATTGTTTTGTATATTACAGCTGATGTGAGCAGAAGATAGACATTGACCTTAGTAGTATACTAAGGTAAAATTAATACCTGTGTATTGGAAGTGTGTAACAGAGTTCTGTTATTTCAAGTAATAATGTTATTCTTACAAATTTTATCATATTAAGTCATAATTAAAAACTTCAGAATCCCAGGGCAGCCCCTGTGGCGCAAAGGAATAGGACGCCAGCCCCATATGCTGGAGGTGGCCGGTTCAAACCTGGCGTGGCCAAAAACTGCAAAAATAAATAAATAATAAATAAATAAATAAAAAACTTCAGAATCTCCAAACCGGAATTTCACATGCCTCGCGGTCTAACTCATGTCTGTGATTAAATGACTAGCACCGAATACCTGGAAATTAAAGAACACTCTTCTAAGTAACCATTTAGCCAAGGTGGATATTACTGCAATAATAGCTATTCTTACAAAATAAAGAAATAGGAATATTGCATGGTAAAACCTGGAGGGTGCAGCTGTACTTTGAGGTTCATTCTTATAGGTTTATTATTAAAAATTGAAAATAAACTGAGGATACCAATTGATAGTAGTTTTTGCTTGGGTCAGGATTCTATATGAATATTGTATTTTTTTCCTCTAACTTTATTTTTTCTAATTTAAAGAAATGAACTTGTATTAAATTCGTAATTGAAAAATCCTTAATTTAAATTTCCTTAGAGAAAAGGGTCATGAAATCTATGTAGATTTATTTATTTTTAATCATAGTCTTGCTCTGTTGCTTGGGTGAAAGTGCAGTGACATCATAGCTCATTGCAACCTCAAACTCCTGGGCTCAAGTGATGCTCCTGTCTCAGCCTCCCAAGTAGCTGGGACTTTTAGGTACATACTACCACACCTGGCTAATTTTCTGGGGGTTTTCTTGGAGACAGGGTCTTGCTCTTGCTCAGGCTGGTTTTGAACTCCTGACCTCAAGCAATTCTTCCGTCTCAACTTCCCAAAATGCCGGGATTACAGGTGTGAGCCACCATGCCTGGCTGTAATAGTTTTATTTACTGCTTTGAAATGCGTGTGATTTTGACATTTTTCTGAAAGTTGCTGGGTTTTGTTCAGTTAACATGCTAATTTTCTTTCTATGAAAAGTTTTGTGGTGAGTTAGAAATTTATTTTCTTCTCCTTTTTTAAAATTCAGTACAAAATTAAAACTATCCAGGATTTGGTGAGTTTAAAAGAAGCAGATCGTCACAGTCTATTGCACTTCCTTGAAGATGAAAAATATGAAGAGGTTATGGCTGTCCTTGGGAGTTTTCCATATGTAACCATGGATATAAAATCACAGGGTAAGTGGGAGGATTCCCTGTTGAAGATTTCTTCTCTTCTGATAGATTGGTTCTCATTTATTTGACTCAAGGTTCTCAAAACAGTTTATTTAATAACATAACTTATAATTACTTTGCAGAACTATAATTTACCTGTCAGATTTACTATGTTGGAAAATGATGTATACTTAATAGTTTTGAGAACACTGATAGAACCCCCACTTTTATTATCCTCATAATAGGATTAAATGTGAAGACTCTGTTCTGTAGTTTAACTTTTAGGAATTTCTTAACTTTTCAAAGAATGAAAGAGATTTCCAGGTGTAATGAAGGACTGAGATGCTTGAAATGATATTTATTAGTGTGAAAGAAATAGCTACTTTAGTTCTAAAATTAATTTTGTTTATTTTTTAAATTACTTAAAACCCAACTTGTATTAATTAAGCCTTGGAAATTACCATGTTTTATGCCACATTATGTGTGTTGTTCTCACTGTACCTGTATATTTGCTATAAGACATAAGAGATTTTTCTAGCTACATAATTGCCCTATTCCTGTTTTAATTTTAAAATCTGAGTAGTAATACCTTACAATACTTGACGGAATCAGAGATCATCTCATCTTCACTGTGGTGTTGATGAGCTGAGCTTTAACTTTCGCTAAGTTACTATTGTTAGACATTCTTATAGGTACCAAGAATACAGGGACATGTAACATAGTGGTTTCTGTCTTTGAAGAGCTTATCGTCTAGTTGAGGAAATAGGATAAAAACAAGAGAATATTTGCTCAGCATTAAGTGAAATTATAGATACTGTGCCATTTATTCATACAATAAATGAGGGCCATGTACTCTCTTGGATGTAGGAAGGCAGTGGTAAGACAAACTTTCTGGTTGAGTTTGTATTTTAGGAGGAATTGGGAAGAGGTAAATGGCTCCCAAAGATTGGGGTGTTTGAGAACGGAAAGCCAACAGTATAATCTGGCTTCGATTTGACTGGAGTATAAGATACTGAGTGTAAGTGAGGAGTTGGGATTTCTTGTGGGGCTGTGAGTTTTCATGTTTTAAAAGCATTAATTCAAAAAATATATTCAGGACTGTACTGTTTAATCAGAAACTGCTCAAATAAATATTTTGTTTGGGACTTGAAGATGCTCTTTGATATAATCAAAAATTGTAAAAAGAATATACTTCTTAGAAAAATGAACATTAAGATATTTGCATGTTACAGAGTTGACAAGGAGTTGATAACTAGAATCTACAGAGAACTCAAACTAATCAACAAGAAAAGAGCCAAGAATTCCACTTATATTGTAAATGGGCAAGTGACATGAACAGAACCTTTTCTGAAGAAGACA